GTGTGTGTGTGTGTGTGTGTGTGTGTGTGTGACACACGTATAAATGTTTTTTTTTGTTTTTTTTTTTAGTATCGCGCACCTCGCGCACCGCCCGCACTGCGCACAGTGCGCGCACTGTCATTCCAGCGCACAGCGCACCGGCCCGTACCGCACTGCGCACTGGTGCGCTGCAGCTATGCTTACTATAATTGTGTTACTCCATCTTAGCCATTTGCCCACAGACTCACAGAGTCACAGTATTATTTGTGTTAGTCAAGTGCGGCTGATACCAGATTATCACCCGATTCGAGCACATGCCAGGATCAGTGTCCTCGGTAGGCCTACGGGCCCCTGTCTGCAGCCTTACCCGCCCTAAGTGAAGGCGGGCCTGGCTTTTTGCAAGAGGCCCTCGACTGTCAATTTCATATTTGGGGTCCRGGCAGTTGCRAYSHGMYAGTTGGTTGAAAGAAACACAGGCCGAGTACCGAAGACATTTCCACGGCCTACCGGGCCTTTCCAAAGAATGCAGGCCCTGGGCGTGATTCGCAGCCTCATAGAGAGACAGTTGGGCGCCCAACCGATCGAGGCCCAGCAGCCCAGTAGCTGCTGCATCCAGGCAGCATCCTGGGGCCTTCCGGAAGCTTCTGGGCCCAGGCCAGCCCAGCCAGGCTGCGAGAGCTGGCCAGCTCTTTTCCATAAAGGAAAGAGCTCTGGCCAGGCAGCCTCGTTCAGGCACTCGCATGCTGGGCGGCAGCGCTGCTGGAGCTTATGCTCGTAGGCTGCTGCTAGCGCTGAGAGGCGAGGTGCAGCACGTGCGGTGGTGCAGAGGAGGAGGGCGCTGCCGAGGGCAGCGCCATAGCCCAGCCACCATAGCTGGTGGGCTTGGACTACAGTGAAGCGCAGGGGTGGTCTTCGGGTGACAGAGAGGACAGGTGTGGGAGAAGTCAGGGGATAGGTGAAGGATGATGATGATGAAGATGATGTGAGGGCACGTACCTTGTATTGGCGATGGTCTGCATGGGCGGCATCTTCAAGTACTTCCAGCTGCTGCTGATGTCAACAGTTGCATTGTCTTTTTGTAGCCTGTAGTAGCTGTGTAGGAGTAGGCTGGGCGCTGAGCGCCAAGTGTGAGTGTGTAGAACTGGACTCTTGTGTTGAGAGGAGAGATCATGCTCTCCATGGACATTGGTTTTCAGTGCTATGAACCTTCATTGGTGTTTTATTGGTGCAATGCTGCTCTCCGGACACGGTGTGACTATTTGGCTTGCAATGTGATGGTGTGATCTGGGATTGTCATCTCGCTGTTGCTTATTTTCCTTGCACACACACTGCTCTACCGCTATCTGGTTTCATTCTCATTAATTAACTCTGTCCAGTTTTCATATGCCCTCTCTTTTCCTTTTTATGTTGGACGAGTAATTGTCTTCAAATTGTGAGAATTTGTGAGAATAAAAATAATAATTGGAACGATACAGAGAAGATTAGCATTAAAGAAAACAAGAAAAGACAAAAAAGGAGAGAAGATTGAACAAAGCTATCGGAGAAGAAAGAACATACCTGAGGCGCTTTTGCAACGAAAAGGCACTTTGTCGCCATGGACTCCT